CTTGGATTTCATTATCTTTATCTCCGAAATTGCTTCTTGTATATCAAAACACACAACATTTTTTTTCATTCACGATACTAAATGATAAAAGCTGATATTGAATTCAATTTCTATTGTAAATACAACAGTATTACTGTAAACAGCAAATATAAATTTCTCTTTTGAAACATATTCGTTCTATGTAAAAATGGCTACATATCACCTTTAAATTTAAATTAATTTAAATTAAGATCTGATCAGACCAACGAATTTTGTTTCATTTATTATCATATTTTATTATTATTATATATTTCCTACAATTGAACAAATAATGATGCCACTCGTTTCATAAAATTATAATGTGCTGTAAAGTCAGCGGGCTTAAATCTCAAAATAGGTGGAAAATATTGAAATCCAATAGGATTTCATAACCGCTCGAATGGAAAGGCACCGAATCAATTTCTACGCCTAACAAATCACGCGATTCCGGAGGAAAACAATTTTCCGAGTTCCACCATAATTCGGTCCGCGATACAAAAGAATAGCTAACGACCAGCAAATCCCGTGATTCGCGCGAGCATGCGAGCATTTCCCTATCAAACGAGCGTGACTGGTAACAAGGGGCCCGACTGCTCGTTACATGGTGCACGTACACATGGTCTGCGGGGTAGAAACCGAGCATAATTAATCGGCCGCTGATGAGGATAATTAATGTCCCGAGTGCACGGCTAAATTAATCGAGTGCTTCTCGAAGAGCGCGCGATATTACGATCGTCGTTATTGCCAATACGATCGGTGTCGTAATTTAAGCGATTTCGATGCGTGCCACGGTCGTCAACGTAATTAATAAATCGGGATGGTTTCGACGCACGGGAACCGGACAAGGGGAAGTCCACTTTAAACAGGATTCGCGTTTTAACGCGACTGAGCCGCTTTGCGGCGAAGTTGGAACGATTTGTCTATGATACGTCGCTCCAGTTTTCAAACGATCATGATTCGAGCAGATGGGAAAATGACTCGCGGAATGACGCGATTCCGCGAACCACATTGCGCAACGGATAACTATTAATATTCCTCGAAGCCATTTATATTAGAGATCTCTATTTCGCACGTATTCGAGTACACGTGTGCACGTGTAATTAGCAGTTCCGAACTTTAACCCGTGTAATTCTTGACACGCAGGTACGTATCCGCAATACGCATTAATTGTAGATAACAGTAAGTAGAATTACGTAATAAGAACTCTAAGATTATATTAACGGTGTTAAACATCGATAAGAAGAGCAATGTTGCAATGTTCTAATCTTTTTCATTGTCCACAAGAATAATCCTGAAGTCGTGAAAAATCTACCATCTAAATCAAAATTTAACACACATTTTCGCAACGGGATAGAAATTACGAAGATTTAAATCTTTCGTGTAAATTCCAGCAAATGGTCCTTTAAAAATATGCACTCATTTCCGATGCAAGCGTTTAGCTACCTATCTAAGAACAAGCTTCGCGAAACGTGAGGGATTCGGTGCTGGAAAAGCAGTGTTCTCCGTGCGATTCTTCCTGGCGCCGGTAAAAGTCAGCAGTTTTCTCGAAATTCCGTCGACACGCGGACCGCTTTATCAGACATTCCAGTCTCGATTTATTGGCAGACTGCAACAGGATTTACTTGCCGACCATTTCGAGTTTCAATCGGCCGGCTCCGACTGTTGCGAGCGTGTCTCCGCGACCAACTCTATCTAATTCGCTCCACACGATCGATTCGCTTCGACTCGATCCGATTCGATTCGATCCGATTCAATCGATTCCATTACATCGGTAGATACACGTACGATCATCCGACGATAATCGATCTGCCAGTGACGTTGGAATCGATTCGCGTCCCGGAAATCGGTCACGATAATGGAGCACGTATGCACCCTATTCTTCCAGCTATTACCCTTTCCTTCATGGCTTTTACGTCGGCCCGACGATCACAAAAATGTTGTTCCGATAGCTGTCTATGCGCTCAAACGACTTAACCCACTTGGATCCCTTTGAAGTTTCTATCTGATTACTTTCGAGTCTCTCGTTTGCAATACCGTTACGCATAGATGGACTACCATTGCGACTCGGAATTTTTAATAATAATACTAATGATAATAATTGTATTCATGTATGCGGATAAAAGAACCCTACGTTAAAAAAAGAAATTTAGAAAGAAAAAAGAAAAGAAAAATTAAGAAATACATATCTAATGATACAAGAAAAAAGTAAGAAATAGTATAGTATATATGTACATATAATAAATATATAGTAGATATAATAAATCTAGATTTTCGTGCAATTCTTATTCTCGATGATTTCTTTCATAAAAATTGGTAAAAGATAATCGCTAAAAGATATTTTTGTGACAAGAATAAGACAGAAGTGCTATTGGTAGAGAAGTATGTTTATTAATATAATTATAATATATATTATTATTATTATATAATTATAATTATAATATTATTATTATTATATAATTATAATTATAATA